TCTATTGAAGGGAGCAGTTAATGCTTAAATTTCTTCTTTTTAACTTCTTGTGACTTTTTAAAACAATTCTGCATGCCAATATCTGGTAGTCTGAACAACTAATTTGAAGATAACATTATACAATATAACAACCATTGTTGAATTCCTACTATTTTGTTTAGTGGAATTCTGAATTGTTTTTATTTTTTTTTTTATTATTTTTAATTCTCTTTAAAAAAACTTTTTTAGGGCCAGTGAGATATCTTAGTGGTCTAAAGAGCTTGCTTAGGTAAGCTTAGGCAAGTGCAGGGACCACGGTTTGATCCCTGGCACTGCATGACGCACCAGCCCTACCCCCAGGGTGGGCTGAGCAGGCCAGAAAAAAAAGAAAGACAGACACAAAGACAGACAGACACAGACAGACAGAATCAGGATCCAAGTTAAAAAGAAAAAGAATCCTCTTCCTCTGCCCATGCCCCCACTCTCTTCCCCAGGAGTCGGTCCTACACCTTCTCTCTGGGTGGCTTCACGCAGCCATGTGACTCTGACTTTACCTCTGCCCTATCATGTGCTTATCCAACTGCTGCCTTCTGACCCACTGTACAGTTCCATCTGAGCAACTACCTCACTGAATTCATTGTCTGCAATATCGTCTGTGTCACCTCCCCCTCGCTTAGGGTCCCTTTTCTGTCCTTTCATGGGTGACTGAGGACAAGCATCTGTTCCTCGTCTTCCCCATGTTCTTAGCAAACTTACAAGCCCTGAGAACTCTGCTTTCATAGTGCTGGAAGCCCAGCTCATCACTCTCCTACTTCTAGACTACAGTCCTGCCCAAGCCTGTTGTAGCAGCCCCTCGCACCTCTGTCTTCAGTTTGAGTCTTGCTGTACCACCCTCATCCACCTGGCTTGGGAAGGCTCCCTTCCCAGTGCTGGGTGCACACTTACTTTTCTTTGCAGCCAATTTTGCCATCCTTGTGCTTATCACTTGCCATGGCTACCCCCTGCCTCTTGTCCCCTGTCTTGTCCCACTGGCCATTAAGCACAGTGAGCTTGGATCCTGCTCACTGCTCAGCCCCCCTGGGGCTAACAGCGAATGTGGCCCAGAAGGTGTCCAACAGATATTTCTTACGTGTTGTTGAGTATTAGTCAATGCTTAGGCTTGCTGATATTTAAAACAAGTAGAACAAAACTGTAATTTCATAATTACATAAAGACAAAGTCTGGAATTAGAAGTCGAGGATGACATTTCTGGCTCTATCATTGCCTATTGAATGCTTTTGACAAAACACAGTTCTCTCACTGTAATATAACTGCGTAACACTTGTCATTACTGAGCATACAGTAAAACTGACAATACCACCTTGGATTAGAAGCAGTTCTTGTGAATTTTTATTTGTTCACCATCCCTTTGGGGTGTATGTACACCTTTCTTTCTAGAAGGTAGTGAAGGGGGATATAAGCCCCTTCAAATAATGACAAAACCTAACTTTGAAATGGTTACGTACTGCACGGTGTCTGCAGGTTTTGGGAAGTCACCTTCAACCTCTAACTCTCAGGTGAGAATGTGGGATGTATGAGGTAGTGTGTGGTATACGCTTGTACATCGAGTTCCTTTAGAATTCAAAATATTTTGGGGTGAAAGTATGTGCAAATTATTTCAGTACTTCAGCTTCTCTTTGGATCATTTCTCCACGTTTTTCGAGAGACTTTTTTTTTCCACACCCACTCCAACCATCTGTGTACCAGGCAAGTTTCCGAGATGTAAAACCATGTGAAATATGTCCATTTTATTTATTTGGAAAGGACTATGATATAAGGAGGGGGCTGAATAGTTAATGGAAAGTGAGTTCTCTATATGGGTAGCCTGGGAAGTCCAGCCATTATAGCCACAGGCAGCTGCGTCCTAAAGATGAATTCAGCACTGGGCCTTTCAAACTAAGACCTGCAAGCAGTGCAGAGTCTACCTGTGGCCTGGAGGTAGTCTCACCACACAATACTATTTTAAAATGTATGCAAATTTGCATTCTACCCTGGAATGCATTGCTTTAGATAAAATGTCTTACAGTACTTACCTTAAAAATTGACTTTGCAGGAAAACATGCCATGTTGATGGTTGCCCTTAGCCAGGCCCTGGGACGCTGGGTGTGCCCTGAGGGATATTCCCCCCCCCAACAGCTCAGATGTTGCAGCCCAGACTTTTGTTGAAACTGAAATGAATCCTCCTGCATGTTTTCTTTTTCCTTTGCTACACGAAATTTACAAAGATCTTTATGAAACCTGAAAGTGTCTCTCTAAGCAGCTGGGTGGGAGCACTGTCACCGCAAAGCTGACTGAGGAATAAAGGTGGGGGGGTGACGCTGGTCAGGGAGGGCTGCTGCTGCAGGAAGGACATGTCTGAAAGGAGCGTTACAAATCCACCTCCCTTTTCAGATCTCATCTGCATCAGAACCCAAACCAAGTGGGGTGAGAAAGAGCAAAATATTTTGTAAGAATCTGCCAAAATGGAACCCATTAGGAAAAAAAAATCCAAAAAGTCATGAAACTTAATGTTTTTATTTGGGTGCGCATTTTGAAAACATGTTGACACAGCAAGCTGGTCGTGCTCAAATCTAAGCACAAGAGACGACTTATTTATACATTTAAATTTCGAAACATTTGTGAGGCCTACCATGTTGCTGTTAAAAGGTTTCTAATTTAAAATTATTTTGTTAGATAATCATGTCTCAAGTGACATTATGATTTATCACCACTAATCAAGATTCTGATCTTCCATAGACATCTTGTTTGTGTCTGTTTTGTTCTTTGTTACATAAATACGAGGTTTATATATAAAATTCGGACTGTGTAATACGGGGCTAATGAGCCACAGATGGAAGGGCGCTGGCACGTTACCATCTAATAACATTTTAAACTCATATTCCATAGTAAAACAAAAGCAAATTGTACACATCTGTTTTCCAACTTGTAGTATTTCTGAATTTGTCCAGAATCTATGTTTAGAAGACTTTTACTTAGAAGAGAAAGAGGACACAGGTCACTTCAAAATGACCCAGCCACTTAATAGCCTTATCAGGACAGAGTTGGCCAAAAGGAGATGATTTCCTCTGCTTTGCTTCCTGAAAAGTCATAATGCTGAAGAACAAGAATGAAAGGCATTAAAGGGGGGCGGAAGGTTTTCTAGAACAAACCTAACTTTATTGGCACTCTTAAAAAGAAAAGCATGCCCCTAGCATGGTGAAAAGTAAGAGGAAAAAAATTCACAGAATGAATAAAATTAAAAACCTGGAAACTTTCTGTACTTTCCTAAAACTATCCTCAAAATAGAACTGGGTGAGAATAGGGGGTCTCCAAGAAGGCCCCAGAAATCTGAGATTGTGAATCTCTGTAGTTGTTTATTTGTATGGTCAGGTAGGGTTCATGTTTTGTGTTTAGAAATTCATGTTCTGTGTTTAGAAAAAAAAAAGTTCTGTGTTTAGAAAAAAAAAAAAATTGGAATGAAAGGCTTCAATTTCCCATGCTGTTAGAAGAGAAATAGGGAATCAAGGCAGAGAATTTGGCTCTGACTGACCCAATTGATAACGCCTGTAGGATAAATTAATACCAGTTCTTGAAATACAAGTCTCGGAAACATCTCTCTTCCCCTGTTCCTGGTTGAGGACTTCCAAACCACTTTTCTGCCTTGAGGGGTCCTGTGAACTGTCAAGTTCTTTTGGAAAAGTTAGGTGACAGAAGCGATTACCTGCAAAGTATGACCATAAATCCCCTCGAGGTGAAATGCGTCTGTTACAAGAGACCAAAGTGCAAATTCCTGAAGCACAGGGCCTTGAGGGTCATCGGGATGACTAGAGAGGGAAACCGGCTGATGCGTGTGGGCGGGCTGTATTTCGGGAAGCATTTTGTTTATTCTGATCTAAAAGTAGAATCAAGTTCACAGTTAGTGTCCACAAAATAATTAACACGTATGTTCTGTGGTGTGCGTTGTAAACAATATCCACAGCGTCTCCATTTTGGGCTAGCACTTCTTGAAGAAAATGACCTGTTCCGAGCAGTCTACTGCCCACCAGCGCGGGCACAGCCCCGTGTACCTGCCACAGGGGGACGTGGCGGTGAGATCTGCCTGTGCGCCCGGTGCCCTAAGCCGTGGCAGGATTGCTCAGCTAGGTCACAGCGCACCCACGGCTCACACCAGGAGAGGCAGCGTTAGGCATGTGCTTGTTCTGTCTGTCCACCAGCGGACTGGCCGTGTGACGTTCTGTGTCGTGTTGTTTTGGTGCTGTGCTGTGTCCATAGGGCCTGCCCGGCTTCCCCACGGTCGCTGCCCTGCGCAGTAATCAGATCCTCACCGTCAAGGTTTGTGGTCGGCCCTCGCGCCTGCGTGGTCAGAGCCGCAGTCAGCATGACAGCGTGCAAGAACCATTCTGCTGCCGCGCCCAGCTCAAAGGCCTGCTCCATCAAGACAGCAGACCCCTGCCCGGGGCTGTGGGGACCTCACCCGCATCAGCGAGGCCCAGGGCCGGTGCTGGCCTCCGGCCGCCTCACCTTGCCAGGACCGTGCCAGTCCCCGCCTCCGTTTGCCCGCACCAAATGCCCCATGCTCCAGGCCAACCCAGCCCTTGCAGTAACTGCAGGCGCTGAGCGTCCCCGGCGCGGCAGCCAGGTTCACGTCACTTCATGCTGGTTGGCGAGTCTGACGGCACCCGAACTGGCACTGTGTCTGCCGACTGTCTGCTCAGTGGGGCTCTAGGGTCACCCCAGCTCAGCTCCTCCCGGGAGAGGGACCAACACCATGGCAAGATGATGGGGTACAAAAGGAAAACTCTTGCCCCACTTGAATTCGAGGTGGCTAGCTCCTTCTGGGAGAACCAGCAGGTCTGACTCAGACACCGTGCCAGTTCTGTTCTGTTCAGTGGTCGCTATAATCTAATGTGTGTATCTTTATTTCTTTCTTGGGGCCTTCTGATGTCTATTCTTCAACTCTCTCACCTCTGAACTTCAACCTTTGACCTCACCTGACTGATCAGATGGTGTTTCCTAAAATCAATCATGGCTTTCTCTCTGCTGATCAGCAGCTCATTAAACGCCGCCTGATTAAGGTAGTGCTTCCTCTTGCTGGAGTCTGATTTCTTCTTGACGTTCATTATTGCTCTGCTTATTGTTGCTTTACTGCATTTCTTGTGGGCGGGCAGGGTGGGGGTGGGGTGGGGGTCTTTATTTGTACATAGATGAGAACAAATTTTTATTTGATGGGCTGCATTTGAAATGTATATTGAAGGTATCAAAATAAAAAGACATCAACATTTTGAATGTTTAAAATCTTAAATTTTAACTAGTAATAGATCCAATTTGAAATCTCTCTAGGTTTGGTTATGCATAAATTATTATGTAATCTGCCAGGAACTTCTTTTGCTTAATTTTGTTGGCAAAATTAACTTTTGTACGAAAAAAGTAAATGTCAAAAATATATATATATATTTGTTGAGCTACAAATGCAGCCATTTGTTAAGAAGTGAATATAACCACAGAATAAGTTACGCAAAGTCTCCCACCAGGTTTGCAGCTAGTGCTAACGCAGTGGAGGGCTGGCTTGGGCTGCTTGGCTTTAATAGCATCTCAGCGCTTCAAGCATGAATATTTATTTGCTCCCTGCTGGCAGGTAAATTGCCTGCAGGCTTCCATTTCTGATCACTCTGGTTCCTCTCAGAGTATAAGTGTGGATTAAATAACAAGAATTAAAAGTGTTGAAAAGAAGACCTGAAGATTAATCTTTCCTGGTTATTGTTGGTCTGTCCCATTCTCCATTGCAGGGTGACCAAGGGCAAGCAGGACCTCCTGGACCCCCAGGCCCTCCAGGTCCCAGAGGGCCACCTGGGGACACCGGGAAGGATGGCCCCCGAGGGATGCCAGGAGTGCCTGTGAGTTGCTTTGGGACCCTGTTGTCTTGGGGTTCGAGAACCAGGATGGGGCTAGGTGGCTGGGGCTGTGGAAGGAAGGGGCCATGTGAGCAGCAGTTTGGACAGAAGGAGAGTCTCCAAGCCTTGCAGGGCACTGTCCACAGGGTGCCACTTTCTCTCCATCCATGAGAGCCCCCGCAAACCCCAGGGACCTGGATGGATGAGCCCACCTTCTGGTCCGGGGACCCCCATCCCACATCTGCCTCAAGGTAGGCTTGTGCCTTGGATTTAGGGGGCAGATAACTTTGGACAAGGAAGTAGCAAGCTGCTGACAAGTTGCAAAGGGGTGTATAGCAGACATAGCCAAGTTTCATGCTATGTATAGAAAGCAAAGGCAATAAAGCTTTTGAATATTTAATTTCTGATACATAATTTGACCAACAAATAGCTAATAAAAACAGTAAAATTAATGGTTAAAACATCAGTGGGTCTGGTTTTAATATACACTTGTCCCTAGTGTATATTAATCCTCATCCATAGACATCAGTTAAAGTGCTCTCAGTACTTAGTTACTAAGTCAAGTGTCAAAGCACAGGACAGTAAGTAAATGGTTCAGTAGAGGCAACCCAGCAATTTTTCTGAGGCAACCTTCTTAAAGGCCCCTTTTTCCTCACTGAGATCTGCTGGGGCAGGAGGACAGGAGGAACCAACTCTCCCTCCGTGACTGGCTGTAGTCGGAAACACTTTCTCTGAACCTCTGAACAAGTGGTTTAATCCTAAAACCCCTTCTGTCTCAGCATTTCCCAGAGTGAGACCCCAAGGATAGAGATGCTCACAGCTTTGGGGATATTTCAAGTGTTTGCACTGATTGCTAGTTGTTAGCACAGAGTCTCTTTCGGTAAGCTAGTTTAAAATATCTTGATGCTGCAAAAGTATTCAGATCTTTGAGTATTGTACATAATAATTGAAATCTAATTTAAGATAGAAATTGCTTTTAAGAAATAAAGATACAGAGCTCGGGAGACTGAAGATAGGAGGATCACTACGAGTCTGATTGGTATAGTGAGGCCCTATAGACCCTGCACTAAGTACATAAAAAAAGAAATAAAGTTAAAAGGGGTATGACAAACTTAACAATCAAAAATTGTTATCCTTCACACGAATATAGTTTATTCATTTAAGAAGTAGAGATTTTTACACAAAGTGCAAATTAACTTTTTAAACAGAGATTCTGTAAATATAATAGAACTTGATTTATGGTCTTCAAGTTAATTTGTACATGTTGTCGTAACCACTAGAAGATATTTTATAAAAATAAACTGAGAAGAACAGCAGCAGCTACATATAGTGGCATGCCAGGCATAAGTTTCCAGTAAAATTTCTATAGCCCGGGACTGCCGTACAATAATGTGACAACGAAACATGATCATACCATTTTAATCTGAGCACTAGAAAATGATAGTGGTGGGACGGATTTTTCTGTATGGATTTTAATTGGACAAGGTACTTCAACCATTATCAAGTCATAAGGACCAAAGTTTAAAATCAACATTTTATCATTGAATTCTCACCCTGAGAGCAGTTCTCAGTGTCACACATAGGAAGCTCTTGAGTTACCGCAGAGAAGACACCTGGCTCCATCTTTACGTCATTATAAAGAGGATAAGATCTGTCCTAGGTGACAGGAAGCAGGGAGGTAGACTTGGTAGAGCTGGAAGGGGACCAGGGAGGAGACCTGGGATGGAGGGAGAGGAGGTCATGGTGCAAGGGCACGGGACGATGAGCAGGCCCTGTCCATGGACCAGTTCCCCCATGACTGTCAGTGTCATATATTGTGAACAGATACCAATAGAAATATATAAAGAGACTAACTTTACTAAATCCTAAAATGTTTATGAAATTTATTTGAAGAAAGAATAGCAGATCTCTTCAAATTCTATAGCATTTGTATTTTTGTATTTAACCTAGAAGAAGTGCTTATCTATGGATTGTGGGGATTAATAGGGAAAAGATAAAAATTGCTAACATTATGCCTATTTGTTTTTAAGGGTGAACCAGGGAAACCCGGAGAACAAGGCTTAATGGTAAGTATCTTTATTTATGTTTTATTTATGTTTTATGTTACTAAACTTGACAGGAGCCCAGGATGTTAAAAATCATGGTAATGATAACACATGACAATTACGTCTGTCCTGTGAGCCATGACAAAAATTGAAAACTCATGCAAGTGTAAGAGTGCTGTGGCCTGGCTGCCAGACACTGAGGATCCCAGGCCCACACTCCTACCAGTGTATACACATCAGGAGCTGTGCAGGGCAGGAAGATCCCAGGTGGAGCCAGGGCAAGGGGCTGCCCTCTTGCTACTCCTCAATGAGGGAGCCTCCGTGTGGAGACCCACACACAGCATCCATGGGGCGCTGTGACCTTGAGTCACATGGCCAAATCTGCTCAGAGATTTGAGGTGCTCTCCTGTGGAAGGGCTTTGCCCAGGGAGAGGCACTTACTTGTTCAAAGCCATGAAAGGGTTTTATATGGATGTGGGGAGGCATCCTGCTCCACCAGTCAAAGGCATGAAGGGATTCTCCCAGCCTGCTCTGTGCCTCTTCCTCTGTCTCCCAAGCTGTCTTCTCAACCCACTCCACACTCCAGCGCCCCAGGAGGCCCGCGGGAAACCTCTGCCCACAGCCAGGGGACACCCACACCTGGTTGGGCCTCTGTCAGAACGTGGCTCCTTGATGTGTGGCTCACATCCTGCAGGGGGCCAGGAGATAAAACTGCTTTGAAAACTACCTAGCTAGGTCCTTGTGAAACAAACACACAGATGGGCACCAGTGGCACTCCCAGGCAGCCATGTCCCTAATGAGATGACAGTGCTAGGGTGCGGAGTGTACCCACCTCCCTGAGGCACTGTTTCTGCCCATTAAGACCAAGATGGATATTGGAATACAGTATTTTGGGGACTATCATGAGCTAGCCCCTATCCTATCTCCCTGAGAACTGTCAGAATGTACCCTTCCACACACCCTTGCATCTACCCCTGCTTAGAATGCTCCAGAAGTTTGTTCATCTCCCGCCAACTTGGAGTTTTGCCGTTGGCTTTGTCATCCTACCCTGAAACTCAACACAGTCTCCTCGTATGTGATGCTCTGAAATAAAATACGTATTATTTTAGAAGTCATATTCTCATCTCCCTTGAATTTATGTTACTCTTGTGGATACACTACCTGAATAATAGTGTAATCCCATTTTCTATAATTGCTAATGGTTTTTTGGGGTATTTTCGGTTGTTATTATTATTATTATTGTTTTGGGTTTCTGCTATATTTTTATGCTGAAAATACAGCCCAAGGCCTTGCACATGCTAACCATATCTTCCACCCTGAGCTACACCCAACTCCTAGTTTGAGATCATTAAATACAAATGTTGACATAGTCCTAAGTAAATTGTGTTATCACACTAATATGTTTGGATTTCCCACTTCATCTATATGGAGGAAAAGACTCTGTTTTGTTTTATTATTTCTAGGAATGGAACCCAGGCCTTTTTCATGCTAGGCAAGCCCTGTACTATTTAACTATCCTTGACACCTTTTTAAAGTTTTATTTTTGAGACAGAGTTTCATGAGTGCCTACATTGCCCTTGTATTTGAGAATCCTTCTGCCCCAACCCCGGAGGAGCTGGGGTTAGAGGTGTGTGTCACTGTACTTGGTCTCATAAGCAGTTTTGACAACCAGGCATGGTGATGCACACCTGTAAATGCAGCACTTGGGAGGCTGAGGTGGGAGGATCTCTGTAATTTTGAGGCCAGTCTGGATTGTATAGTGAGTTTTCAAGGTCAGCCTGAACTACACAGCAAAATCCTGTCTCAAAAAAATAACAAAAACCAAAAATCCTTCTTGCAATGCACCTACTACTGATTATATTTTCTATAGACCCTCTCTTCTTTCTTTAAAATCCAGATTTAGTTCGTATTTTTGAAATGCAGTTAAAAATCAAACCTAACAATGTACAGACCAGATCAATAAGTAGACCATTACCCTAAGCTACCCCAAGCCCCCAGTCCTTATCCCAAAGGGACATCCCAACCTTACTTCTGTCACCATGGATTAGTTTTGCCTGCATTTGAATTTTGTATTAATTGAATCATACAATTTGTACACATTTGTGTCTGGCTTTTTTCATTCAATGTTGCATTTATGAGATCATCTACCTCTGTTTTAATAGCCTTCACAGCTGGTTAAAAAAAAAAAAAATAGAGAAAACCTTACTTCCTTGACTACCCTGTTAAAATTACATCAGTCAGAACAGTGAATGAATGCTTGTCTGTCTGACCTTGGGCGAGTCACTTAACCTCCCAATTTCTCATCTGTAAAGCAACGGTAATACCCTCTCTGCCTGCCTTAAAAGGTCACCAAAGACAAATGCAATAAATTAGGGGGAAGCACTTTAAGATCCATAATGAAGAATGATGTGAGCATGTTATTATTATTATCACTCAGTCATTTCCCCTAGAGTAAATTACAGGTGAGCCAGCGTGGATTTCTATAACAGATGTATTCCTGTAAAGTTGGGTATGAATCCGATTTTCATAAATCACTGTATTTTAAGTGTGCTCAGGAATTTTGCAATTAAAGCAATCCTGTTCTGAGCCTGTCTTCTTCCCAGCAAGCTCAGTTTCTATAGAGTGTATTGGTACTACGAAATATTTTCTTTTGTCTAAACAAGCTATCATTCTTTTTTTAAAAAATCAATTTTTTTGCTTATTAACCTGAATAGTACTCGTATATCTTAGTTCATCTCAAAGAGAGATCATACTGAAAGTATAATTATAATTTTCATGAGTTTTTCTTTAAAAATTTCTCCTCAAGTATTTGTGAGTGTGCACATACATGTATGTGAACTCCAAGTTCAGTAGGGAGAGAAATCCTTTGTACTGATAACTCAAGACTTGGGACCCCTGAAGGTACTCTGTGCTGCTTTTCACTAATTTAATAAAAGGTAGGTCATAATTCCTGTTCTGTGTATCTCAGTGAATTATCGTGAGAAGCAGGTGAAATATGAATGTGGTATATTCTATGAGCTAGAAAGAATTCCATAAGCTAGAGGTCTTATGGCTAAAGCAAATGTCCTGAGATGTCACTGGGCACTGGAAGACTCCCTTATGCCATGTCAGGGCTGGCAGCACTGGATGAGCTCCCAGTGAAATTACAGCACATTAAACACTGGGGTTAACAGAGCAGTGTGTGTGTGTGTGTGTGTGTGTGTGTGTGTGTGTGTGTTGGTTCATCCTATTATGGTTGCAGTGGGTGGTAGTGGTTTCGGCCTTCTCCCGCCGTGTATGTCAGATCCTCAGTCTCCCATAAGGCTCCCTTTCTCGCCCACTAGCTAAAACAGAGACCATGAGCAACAACCCCCCTGCCCCTTTTCCACCTGATGCAGACCCGCCCCACTTGTGTGTGCTGTGCAGGTTGTGTGCTTTGATGACGAGGGCCTCAGGAAGCACGGAGGACTCTTATACATTCCAAGTGTCTCTGGTGGCAAAATAAGAAAGCTCAGAACAACCTAAAATTAGTTATTACAAAACTGTTTATGAGTGGGTCAGGCAGAGAATTAGTTTTCATAATTCAGGCTAGTTTATATCGCAAAAATAATCATTGGGAGATTAGCAGTGGCAATGACACAATTTTTAACAAAGCGCTAGCTCTGGCAGCTCCGCATTTAGTTAATCCTGCTGCGCATCATGTCTGTCAGCATGACCTTGGGGCTTTCTGTGATGTTCAAGATGAGATTTTTAAAAGACAGAATTTTGAGCTTCACTAAACTTGATTCTGTCTAAGTAGGAACAGATCCACTCTGTCTTATGAAGCCGGACGCAAGAGTAAAACCAAGGGCTCAGCACAGTCAGAAGTGCACTCCTGTCGGGTTCTGGCACGAGTGCCCTTTTCCTTCCAGGTCTTCCAAATTTTAAATAGCTGTTAAAATATTATTTTGAAAATGTCTTTCCTTTATATATTCTTGCTGCACCTTTAGCAAACGTAGTAGAAGTTCTCAGAAATCAGAATGAAAAAAAGTACTTTTAATGTACCAAGTAGTCGTAAGTTCTGGACATTATTTTTGGTCTAAGGTGTCTGTTATCTGAGACTTCACAGAACAAGCCACTTTCCCTACTCTGAAGCTCTTTATTTCTCCCCTTTGCCAGTCTCCAGATATGTGCAAACGGTACAACATGTCCTTTCACCTCTTACAGAATATAAAAATACATTTTACTCATTGGCCTTGATAGTATTCAAGACAGAAAAAGTCATGCATTAAGGTGAAACTTGCACTGAATAACATTTTATTTTAGTTTGGCCTATAAACCCATTATATGACATTTGCGTGCAGGAATAAAATTCTTTTTTAAAAAAAATGTTAATAACATAAGCATAGGGCCAGGGAGATAGGTTGGTAGTGAGCACCTGCCTGGCAAGTGCAAGGATCAGGTTCTATCCCCAGTACCACATGCCATGCCAGCCCCAGAACCCTGAGAATGTGCTGAGCCAGCCTTCGAAACCAGGCATGGTGGCGCATAACTATAAACCCAGTCCTGGGAGGTTGAGACAGGAGGATCACTGCAAGTCTGAGCTGTGTAGCAAGACCCCGTACCAAATAAATAAGTTAATAAAAAAAAATGGTTAAAGTAAAAAATAATAACACAAGCATAGATTATTGCTTCTGTTTCACTTACAAATGGAAATAACAGGTAAATGAAGACTTGCTTCAAATGTCAAACACAGTGCTGTGCTGCAGACCCGATAAAATTCAGCATTTTCCCTAGTGGACTTGGACGGGCCTGCTATCTTGGTCAGCAGGGGCAGAAATTGGAGGCAGGGGCAGACTGCCTCCTGATTTGGATGTAGCAGAGAGAGATAAGCCCCAACACTTCAAATCACAAATAACAGAGAGGAAGAAAATCATTTTTGCACAGCAGTGATGTTGGGTCTTGACAATGAAATTGAACTTGGTGAGGCCATGTGTTCTTAAGTTGTACACTGCCTGCTGGGATGCCTTAGCAACTGTTCTAATGCTTTATTATCCTTGCTT